CGTCCGCAATCTGTCCACGACGCGCCTGCGCGCAGAAGATATCAAGATCCCGGGCGCACTGGAGAAATCAGGCACATCAGATCGGCGCCTTCGCGTTTTGATTCCGCACCGCAGCAAAAGGAGCGCGAGCAATCCATGATCCGGTCGCGAGGGGGGAGGGGGGGGGGAAGGGCAGGGCCCCGACAGACTCAGAGGCCTGGCTCGTTGCATTCGAATAAGACGAAATTCGCCGAGAAGAGGCAACGCCCGCAGCCAAAGGCACATCTGCAGATGCGAAGCGTGCAGATTCAAAAGGTGGCAAGCAGAGAGACGAAGCAGAACTGTGAGAACACGCGCTCGCTGACTCGGCGCGCGGTGAGACCATGCGACAGGAGGCGGCACCCACTGCCACGGGTTCTTCAGGGAACCGCTCAAAAGGGAGCTCCTTCGTGCAAATGCTCGACACCTTGCGTAAGAGACTCGGCTAATGGTGAAAGGACCGCATGGAACTCTGCAATATGCTCTGTGCAAAATGTGATGCTGACCTGAGGGCAGGTGGCGTCGGAGACAAGAGCAAGGTGGCCAATCAAAACCGGATCTGCTGGATTACGCAGCGCAAGGACGTCACATCCGAGCCCATTCGAGCCTGTCTCCTTGTTAAGTCCACGGACGGCGGACGAGATCGTTGTTTTGATCTTGCCCATGGCGAGAAAGAGAAGATGAGTGCCAGGCTCCGTATCACGTTTGGCTCTGGGCGAAAAAGCATGGTCGAGGATAGACAGGGTCTGGCAACTGAAGCGGCTGGTGACCACATATATTCGAGAGGAAGACTGTCGCTTGGGAGCCGTTCTGAACGGCAAGCGTTACTTTCTTAGTCATGTCATAAGCTTTGATGGTCGGGACGGGGCGGCCAGATGGGATCCCTGTGGCCACGAAAGCCTCTGCAGCACGTCTCAACTATGATAGCATCAATTTCCGAGTAAAACCAACAATGACAGCCCTGTGTGCACGTTCGAGGGCGGAGAGGCGAGAGCCCGCCCGCTGAAACGAAGACCCAGTAGATGGCACGGGCGAGGTAGAGCCAGCAGTCGATAGAACTGGCGGTGGCACCGTAATCTTGTGGAGCGGCTCCCCGATGTCTTGAATGCGCTTCTGTACACCTGTCGGCGAATGAGACGGGACGCTCGAGGAGTAGTCCATGTCGTTCGGCGTCGGGGTCGACCCAATCGTACACAAACGTGAATTGAAGCTGTTCGCTTGGTCTTGCAAGGCGAGAAACTTCGCGTCGGACTCACTGGCAGAGATGGTAACTTTCATGGCTAAGGCCCCGCAGCGGCGCGATGACGTCCCAACTTCCTGTTAAAATTGGGCCACTTCTTGGTCGGTAGTGTGAACAGCCGGTGCTAAGGTACGCACCGTGTCAAGAATGGAGCCGGTCTTGCCCTCAAGGGCCTGCGCGGATGAGAGCCTTTCCTCGTTAGACCTAGGGCGGACCTCTGACGATGAAGGGTTGGGCGAGGCAATGCGGGTGGCACGGCGCTGGCGGCCATCACCGCGCGGAGGCATGGCACCTGCAGGGAGGAAAAAACGACCGTACAGTACGCGGGCCCACACCCTTGTGTGGGGTAAGGGTCAAGAAATGTCACGGCCAGACCTGCTCGGGCGAGCACCTGTGGTCTACCCTTCGGAGCTCACTATAAGCCACCTTGAGCCAAATTGCTTGAGCCCAAATCGCTTGAGCCAAAATGGCTTGAGCCAAAATGGCTAAGGAACCCTCCAGGGGCCGTCTTGGGACCTTCCGGGAGCGTTCAAGATCTTTGGCGACAACCTGGGAGGGCCCAAGACGGCCGCAAGGGCGTCCAAGGGAGCCCCAAGAGCAGTCAAGTATCTGTCACACGAGCGCTCTCTCGCGTGACCGCTCTCAAGGTCCTCTGGGGCCCTCTTGGGGCCGCTGTAGTGCCGCGTCGATTAATTGTTGGAACCGTATTTGGCCGTGCGAGGGTCCTCCTGGGGCCGCTGCGGGGCCGCCTTGGAGGCCTCCTGGAGACCTCTTGGGGGACTCTTGAGGTGGGTTGGGAAACCCTTGGGGGCCTCGTGGGCAGTGTTGGTGCGATCTTGTAGGCCTGTTAGTCTTGGACAGTCAGATAGTTTTCAAGATGAGAACGCGAAAATCCTTCAAACCATCTGGAGCACTATTGGTTTTGGCTCCTTTAGGGGCCTCGTAGTTGGCCTCGCGGGGGCCTCCTGGAGACTTCTTGGAAGCCTGTGAGGGCCTCTTGCGGGCCTCTTGGGGGGCTATCGGGGCTTTCGGTACACCTCTCTGGGCGGAGGGCTGGAATGTCCGTTCGGGGCCCCCGTCTGGACCCTCTTTGAAGTCCTCTTGGAAGCCTCTGGGGCCGTCTTGGAAACCTCTTTGGCGTCGGGGAGCCCTCACGGGGCCGTCTTGGAGCTCTCTCGGGGTGTCTTGGGGCTCTCTTGGGAGCCTGGTGGGCAGTATTGGGGCGATCTTGCAGGCCTCTTGACGGCGTCTCGGGCCGCCTTGGAGCGCTGGGAAGCCCAAAAGGCGAGAACGCGAACACCCTTCGAAACATATGCAAACATAATGAAATTGTTTTTGTGGGGGGCCTCGTGGAGCCGTCCTGAGGCCTGGTGGAGGCCTCTCTGGGGCTTTCTTTTTCTCACACCGCGAAGGGGTCGAATTCGGCAGGTCGAGCCCCTCCGAGGAGCGGCAACACCGGGAGGGCGCTAGCCGCGCTTTTCGGGAGCGGCAAAGAGGGGGGCGTCAAAGAGGGGGGGGTGCGAATCATGACCAGCGGCATGTGCGCGGCCCGGCGGGGGGGCCGGGGACGTAATGAAATAAGAAGAGGCGCCATGAAATCTGGGGAAATATCATGGCCCACGCCATGATATCCACCCCCCCCTAGTCATCACCCCCCTCTTTTCCGCTCCCGAGCTTTCCTCCGCGCCCACGGCGCTGGGGCCAGGCCGGGAAGGAACCCCTTCGGATCGGGCCTCTCCGAGCTCCCGCCCGAGAGGGGGGCGGTCTCGGCGCGCGCCGAGCGCGTCGGCGGCTGGGCCCCAGCCATCCCACCCTCCAACGCTCCTCCATCTCTCCTCCTCCTCCTCCTCCTCCTCCTCCTCCTCCTCCTCCTCCTCCTCATCCTCTGCGAGGGCGGAGCTTGCTTCTGGCATCGCCATCAGTCTCATGAGTAGGGGCCGTGCCCTCGTCTTGCAAGGCGCACGTGCGCAATTTTGGCTGCACTGCCTGGCGGCCTATGCGCCACGCGTGGGCTCAGTCTGCCCCGGTGCCACGACTTTGGGCCCAGCGCCGTCACGGAGAGAAGCGCCGGCAGGAACCGAGACCGCCGACGACATGGCCGCCCCTTTCCCTGAACAAGTGCCAGCCGACAGACATCTGCAGGACGGGGCCAGTAGCTTGGAAGCCACAAAGCCGCTGTGAAGCGGACATGAAGAATGGATTGTCAGAACGCACGCGCTGTCACGCTGGCTGGCGGAGCACGTGCGGGAGGAGCGAGGAAAGACGGAGGAACGCACCCGCTGTCACGCTGGCTGGCGGAGCACGTGCAGAAGGGAATAGGAATGCCCGAGGACTGAGAGCAACTTACCTTGAAACAAACTTTGCTCACTGTTACGCCAGGTGGCGGAGCACTTCCAGGAAGAACGAGAAATGACGGAGGAAGGAGAGAGAACTGCCTGAAAATGGCATGCGTGCGCTGTCAAGCCAGCTGGCGGAGCACGTGAAGGACGAACGAGGGGTAACGGACCACGGAGGTAAAACTGCCTTGAAACAGCATGCACGCGCTGTCACGCCCACTGGTGGAGCACGTGCGGAAGGGACGAGGAGCGACAGAGGCTGGATGCGTAAGGACATGCTGCAAATAGTCAGGCAAACTGGTGCGGCTCGACACCCTTATGCGCTACGGCACTGTCGCGAAACAGTGCAGTGTTTCGCGACGTTGCTGTAAAACGCGCGCCTGTTCTGCGGCAGAGCAGCACCCAAAAGTAAAAAAAACCCTCTCCCCCTCCATCCCATGCCCCCAACACCTCTAGCTCCCATCCCCCTCTCCTCGCAGGCGGATGCACTCTTGAAGCTTCCTCAACACCAGACCGGTCGCTCCGCGCCGGCGTGGAAATCGGCCTGCCTGGTATTTCCGAAGAGCTCAGACGGGGCTTCGGCGTGCTTGACGCTGACCTGCGCAACTGTTGCCCCCCATTCTTCCCACCCCCCTCCTCCACCCAACCTCCCCAGCCCCCTCATAAAGCCGCGCCTGAACTTATACAGCTTCCGTGCGGGGTCTTAGAAAGAATAACCCACCGGCGGATGTGGACCTTGTCAGCTTGCGATCGCTGTCAGGCGTTGCAAGTGTGGACCCTACAAGCGGACACTTACACTCTGATTTGGAGGTCGCTGTCAGATTTGGTGGTCGTGAACCCTACTAGCGTGCGTGAACCTTCTCTGCCTGAGGTCGCTGTCCGACGCGGCGGCTGTGACGCTGCCAGCGGATGCGGGCCAGTCTGAAGTCATCGGGAACCACTAAGCCGATCCCTCGCGTATGTGATGGCAATTGTTTGTCCCAGCGAGCACGCTGTCAACAAGACTAGATGCGCGAAGCCTCTGACCCACGATGGCGCACTGGCGCACGCACGCGTGAAGTATATCATAAATGTTGAGAAGATGATGGCAAGGGCAGCCGACGAGAGGTACCCAATCAACCCTATCCCCATCAATCGAGGTTCGCGCGACCAAACCCAGCATCGTACCACTCGTTCGGGTCTCCCCAAGTGCCCGCTGCGCCGTGCAAGTGCGGTAGCATTCGATAATGCCGCTTGGTGGAAGCGGCGGATGCTCCGTGCGCGCGCTTGATCAACTGCCGCTGGCAAGCCTAGGATGGCGGGCCGCTGGCGACTCACATGATCAGGTGGCGCCTCTGCCTCATGGCTGGCCCTGGGAAGGCCTGCGCCCCCTGCTGCCTGGCCTGACGCTGGCAGGAACCGGCCGTCTACAGCATTGCAGGCTTGGGGGACTGCAGGACGCGGCGCTTGCCCGCGGACGTCTGTGGACGAGCGCCCGAAGAGGCCGAGAAGAACCTGCCCGGCGGCATCGGCAGCGCTGTCTGCGGGCCGGCTCCCCTCGCGAGGCCACCGAATTGCGGCGGCGCTGCTGGGGGCCCAGTGGCTGGCGGGGCAGCAGGCGGTGACGTTGCCAGGATGCAGGGGTCGGGGTCGCTCTTGCTGATAGCGAGTCGGCGGACATTGGGCTTCGGAATGGCCCCAGCGGCCTGCAGCATCGCCATGTTGGCCTCGTGCCCCTGGATGCGCGCAGCAGTCACCTGCAAGGAGCGGCTGTCGGGATGGTCTGGGAATCGCTGGCTCCCGTGCCACATGCTCTTGAAGCACATCGCAGCGGTCGGAGTCTTGTTCACGAACAGGTACCCCTTGTTGTGGCTGGAGTCGAAGTCGCACGGCAGGTAGCAGAAATCAGAAGTGCCCTTGACACACCTGCTGATAGCAAGCCACCTTAACTCTGGAATGGTGCTAGAAGAAGGTCCAAACCGAGGTCCACCTCGATGACCCTACGTGAAAATTGAGCTATCGGGGGGCCGCCCCGTTCTCCATGCGCAAGTGGGTCCTCGACAAAGCGTCGGACCAGATGTGAAACGTAAAAAGAATTCCACCCGCTCGTCGAACGAGAAGCCGATGGAACGCGTCGACCTCAAACGATCTTAGCCCCGCCCGGGGCGGCCTTGAAAGAGAGACATCGTTCGACGCAGCCCAAACCCTTGATCCGCCAGGGAACGGGGGGCCAGGCGCCCCGCTTAGGGGGCAGCCACTTCATGCGCCTCAGGAGAGCTGGTAACGTGGCCGCCAAACTCTCCCGGCGTCACCGTCACGATGAGGGCTGGGCGCCAGCTCGCCGCCGGCGCCGCGGCCGCTGTGTACGCCGTGTGGCGGCGCGCCGGCTTTGGTCCGGTGGGTCGGCTGCCTTCGCCGCTGGGAGGTGGCTCGTGGTGGCCACCTTCGACCAATCGCGCGTGTGCACCTGCTCCCACTCCTCGTCATGCTCGCTCGGGGAATCCTCGAGGTCGGCCCACGCCACTCTCAAGGGGACCTTCCGGGCGCCGTTCTCGACAGCGACCTCGTGGGACTCGTCGGCCAGCTTGGCCGCGAAGAAGTCGTCGTCGAGCTCGGAAAGAACTCTCGCTCCGGCCAGTGCGGCCTCATATACCGCGTCGGCATCGACGTCGTCATCCTGCTCCTCGGCTTCGTTGGCGGAGCCGTCCGCGTCAATGCCAAGATGTGCCCTCGCTTCGGCCAGCTTGGCCGCGACGGCGTCGTCGTCCTCGTCCACTAGGTCCTGCTCCTCGGCTTCGCTGGCAGAGTCGTCAGCGTCAATGCCAAGTTGTGCCCTCGCTTCGAACAGGGAGATCTGATGTTCAGGGTCCTGCTCCTCGGCCTCGCTGGGGGGAATCGTCAATCCCGAGAAAGGCCTTCGTGTTGAGCAGGGTGATCTGCTCCTCTGGGTCCTGCTCCTTGGCCACGCTGGCGGAGTCGTCGGCGTCAATCCCGAGAAGAGCCCTCGCTTTCAGCATGGCCTGGGCCTCGATAGCGAAGAAGGTGTCCAGATCGTCCACATTCAGCTCGGCGTCGCCAGTCGGCCCGAGGATAGTCTTGCAAAGGGACAGTCGGCTTCGCCAGTCGCCAGGTAGCTCCGCAAGCAAGAGGTTCAATTCGCAGTACTCCTCGTAGTACTCGCTTGGACCATGCTGGGTAGCATCGCTTCCACGTGCCTCAGGCAGAGGGTCGATTGTGGTAATGGCGGGGAGCACCTGCTGGACCTGTTTCCCCCTGGGTCCTGCAGCGGTGCTCGGGCCGCTTCGATGGCCCCCTCCCCAAAGGGGGTCCCGCACTTCGGGGTTGCCGGATGCCGAGAGCCGGCCCGACGGCATTGGGTGGCGCCGAGCTGCGCCCTCGCCCTCTTGGGCGCGTTTGACCACTAGGTTCGCCTCGCTGCTGGAGCTCAACGACCCGACGCGCCCGAGCTCCGCCAGGAAGGGGAGCAGGAGGGTGTGGTCTTCTGCGTCAGGAAGTGCCCTTGAAGCCAGACCTGCCCGGCTCGCTCACCGCCTCGGCCTGCCTGCACCTGACCGGCATGTTGCGCACCATCACCGTGGTCATGCTCGCGGGGCCCCTCCTGCCCGCGAGGTCCTTTTGACCACGGCTGGCTCCGACCACTCGCCCCTTGCGGCCCCGACCGCGTGGGGCCCTGCGCGGCGGCGGGCAGCCGCTGCGGCTCCCCCGCTGCGGCTCCGAGCCCTGCGGCGCCCGGGGCCCCTCTGGCGCACGGGGGCCCCCGCCGCCGCCCGCCAGCGGAGGCCCGTGCTGTGTGCCCGCGGCCCGGCGCCGGCTGTCGCGGACCGCGGTGTAGCCGCCGAAGTCGCCGTCGGTGTCGGAATCTCGGTGCCCACGTTGGAGGGGGGACTCGGTGATCCCGTCGCACGGCTCCTCGCCCGTCGCGGCCTTCGTGGCGAACTGTTCGCGGGGCACTGGCGACGGCAAGAGCCAGCGCGAAGCGCGATCTGCCAGCGTGATCTCGAGGGGCGCGCGCGTCCTGAAGAGCCAGAGCTGGAGCCAACACGGCTACGGAAAAGGTCTCCCTGGGGTTTCTTGGAAGCCTCTGCGGGCCTCTTGGGGGGTTCTTGGGGGTTTCTCCGAGCTTCCTGGGGGCCTCTCGGGGCCGAGGGCTCGAAATGTCCGTTCGGGGCCCCCGTCGTCTTTCGAATCGTTTTGGACGCATCTTGGGCCGTGTTCGGCGCCTCTTCGGCCGTCTTGGAACCCTCCTACGGCCGTCTTGGAGCTCTCTCGGGGCGTCTTGGGGCTCTCTTGGGAGCCTCTTAGGCAATATTCGGGCGTCCTTGGCGGCGTCTCGGGCCGCATGGGACCGTTGGGAAGCCGAAGAGGCTAGAAACCCGATGTCCATCATTACCCAAGATACATGAACGACTTTTGCCTCCTGAAAAACCTCGTGGAGGCTCTTAGAGGGAGACATACATGTTAATATATCATAGAAAGGGGAGAGCGAGATAAAGGGAGAGAGAGTGATAACGAGTAAGAGGGGAGAGAGAGAGAGAGAGAGACATATATATATATATAGAGAGAGAGAGAGAGAGAAAGGAGGTGTGTCAAGTTTGTGGACATATTCGGAGGTATGTAATGGATCCCTCCTGCCTATCGGCCCTCTGGATTACTGACACCATGTCTACCTTTCGACCTACACCTTTAGGCTAAACAATGCTTTCCAAGGCTTTCCAAGGTTGCCTGGTATCCACGGGAAAAGTCAGTCTCAGAGATAGGAGAGAAAGCATTTCACGGGCGCTTGTCTTGGGAATATTCGGCGGCGCGTTTCGAACCGCAGGGTGGCCCCCCAACAAAAATTCGGCGCCGTCGACCAAAACCAGGGGGACTCCCCTCCCTCCCGAACCACCGCCCCCCCCCCCCCCCCCCCCCCTCCAAAGGGGGGGGGGTCAAACCCCCTCCCGTCTCTCCGGCGCCGGCGCCGGCGGCCGCCAGCAGCGCCGACGGCGGGGACGCAGCGACGATGACCAGAGGCAGCCTAAGTTGGAAGGGGGGGGGGTGAATCCAACCCCCTCCCAACCCCCCTGGCGCCCGCGCCGGCGCTGGCGGCGGCCAGCAGCGCCGAAGCTGTCGCCGGCGACGGCGGGGACGCAGCGACGATAACCACCACCACCACCACCACCACCACCACCACCACCACTACCACCACCACCCACCACCAACACCACCACCACCACCAACCCACCACACAACCACCACCACCACAGCCCACCACAAACCACCACCACTACCACCACCACCACAACTCACCATCACCACCACCACCACAAAAACCCACCACCACTACCACAACCACGACCACAATCTACTTCGCCATCACCACCACCGCCACAACCACCACCGCTACCAGCATCACAACCCACCACCACCACCATCACCACAAACCACCACCACCACAAACCACCACCACTACCACCCCACAAACCACCGCCACCACCACAACCCACCACCACCACCACAAACCACCACCACACCACCACCAAACCACCACCACCAGCATCACCACAACCCACCACCACCACCACCACCATGAACCACCACCACCACAACCACCACCACCACAACAAACCACCACACCACCACCACCACAACCACCACAACCGCCACCATCACCACCGTCACCACCACCACCACAACCCGCCACGCGCCGGCGCGTGGCGCCAGCCCAGAAAACGAAATCGTCGTCCCCGCCGCCGCCGCCGCCAGCCGAGGAGAGGGATAGAGGAGAGGTGGGGGGGGGGGTCGAAAACCCCCCCGCCTCCATCCAGAGGGGGGGGGGTCCGGTTCGGTTCCACCCCCCCCCCCTCCAGACGACCACGGAACGCGCTCTTTCAGAGATAGTGTTTCAGCTCGTGGACACCAGAAATGCGCGGTCGTGCAGTCGGTCCTAGGCGAGGAATTATGTCGAGGACCCCTGGTGCACGTATTCCTGGCACGACACACACCTGATATTGCCCCCCGCCTACTGCGGGTATAGTAGCGGGCAACATGACACGACAACGACGCCTTCTTAACTTGAGGGGTGAATCCTGAAACCCTTTCCGCCGCATCCATGATTCGTTCCCCCTGGCTCAGCCAATTCAGATAATCTCCAGCTGCTTGGAAGGAGCGCGCGCAAAATACAGCAGCATTACACCACGTGTCCAATCTTTCCCTGCTCACAAACACTCGGGGGCAACTGGCTGGTCACCATTCTTGCAGCACGCGGCTCGATTTCTATGACGCCTGAATCTACACGGCGATTGAAGGATCGAGAGCAAAAAATGCTAGACATTGCAGAAGACTGAAGTCCTCGTTCCGGGGTTCCAAAACCCAGGGGGGCCTCTTGCATGTTCAGCGTGCCGTTCCGGTCCTTGTCCACCTGGCGGCCCACATGCGAGACACAACACAAGCTCTCCCCAATGCGAGCCCACCACGCCAAAAAAGGCGCAAGATCCTGGAGCAGCGGAAGAGACCGAAGGAACGAAAATCGGAGGACTCGCTGGGTACATGACACCATGATGCAGTAATTAGAGGAGCCCATGAAGTGGGCCTGCGGTTGAAGTGGGCCAATGATTGGTACTATGTGATGTGCAAGGCGCATGGACCGTGTCAGCGCGTGCGAATTGCAGTCTCAGGCGATTACTCCCTCGCAGTGATCATTCCTCCTGATGGGGCGCCTCGTTGAGCAGTTCCTTCAGCTCGACCCGCATGCTGAGCTTGATCTCCTCGCGCCTCTGGCGGATCACCTCTCGGAGGCTGGAACGGCGATCCTCCTCCCCCTCTCCCTGTTCCTCTCCTCCGCCCTCCTCATTCCTGCTGAAAGACAAAGAGAAGGCGAACAGCATCAGGAACCACCCCCGACTATCGTGTCTGCCACATGGGAGCAGTGGCAAAACCACCGCTGCTTCCAGAGCCATTGCCTTTGCGACCCTCGGCTCCTCATCCCGCCAGGAACATCGCTGCGTGAAAAACGTTTGGCGAACACTCCGTCACGCCCCCGCACCTCTGGCAATCACCAGCCTGATGTTCTTCAAGGCGCGGCCCCAAGTGTCCCGCCTCCCTCCCCGGGACCAACGTCTCGTCCTGGATCCGCTCCCCGATGGCCCCGACGCCCGAAGCAGACAGAGGCCGCAGTCGCGGGAACATAGCTGGACTGAACAAAAACGCGCCGGCGGAAATCTGGGAGCTGTGGGCCTTTTGTGCTGGCCTGGATTCGCTGGTCTCCCACCCCGGCGCTTCCGCCGCCGCAGTCGGCAACTCTGAGTGGCCCGGCTTCCTTTCCCCCTGTAGCGCCAGGGCTCCTCCTCCTCCTCCTCCTCCTCCTCCTCCTCCCCCTCCGTGCATTGCGGCCTTAACTTGCATACAGCGTGCCCCCTGTTGCAATTCCACTGGAGCAGTCACCCTCTGCCTAGCCGCCAACTCAAACAAAAACTGTTGTTGCACGGTTACCCCAGGGAGGAGGAGGAGGAAGAGGAGGAGGAGGAGGAGGAGGAGGAGGAGGTGGAGGAGGAGGGGGGGGACATGGAGGAGGAGGAGGAGGAGGAGGAGGAGGAGGGAGGAGGAGGAGGATAATCAGGATCAGGATCAGAGTTCCAGAGAACCTCTAGAATATGTCAACCACGATATTGAAACCAGGCTCGGAGGAAAGCCCCAAGAGATGGGATCAGGCTCAAGGCAGGTGTGCCCCCGAGGCTTACGCCGAAGGCTAGCGTCCTGCGCCTCAGAGACCGTCACGGGAACGCATTACCCAGACGGGGCCCCGCAAGCTATATTAGTGCTAGTATACCTGCTCGAATTCCTCTCTCGCGAGTGTCAAAATTAGACGGCTCTCAAACATGGCTGGATACCTCGGGCGGCTCTTGTGGATCCCCCGTTTCGCAAGGTACCTATCTACACATACTGAATCGGGGGCCTCTAGCTTTCGGGAAAACTCAGCCGACGCCGACGACGGTCCACGTCTGGGGCTTCGGGTCCCCCGCTTTGGAGCCGAGGAGGAGGGAGGTGCCGTCGTAGATCCCCGAGTAGTCGTCGAGGCAGCAAAGGGAGTCGACGGAGGTCGGCGACCCGTCGCCGACGGAGAGGGAGGGGAAGCCGCCATCAGCTCTGAGAGGGGTCTCGTGCCGGCACCCAAAAGAAAATATACAGCCTGCGATCCCGTGGGTCTCGAGGCTGCTCTCGGCACGGGAGAAGGTCGGGGCGTGGAGGAAGATAATGATCGAAAGCCCCGCTCACTATGGGGAGGCAGCTCCATATCCGCAGCATGTATTTCACCATCATTACACTCGGCACTCCAAAAATCCTTATCTCGCCGATCACTAGTAGCACCAACATGTCCGTGAACGCCTCGAGCCACTCCTGCAGCTCGCGCTCCATGTGCGTCGGGGGCGCTCGGCCCTGCTGCATCTCCGCCACCGTCCGGGTCAGACAGTCGAGGATGACCGAGCGGAACGTCGGGTCGAGGTGCAAGAGCAACTTCTTCTTGTTCTGGTCGTAGCACCAGTCCATCTTGCAGAACTTGATATTGTCCGCCTTGGTGGCGACATCCATCTGCTCGGTCGTGGCGCGGATCTCGGTCAGCTTCTTCGCGTTGGTCGCGCCAACGGCCTCTTTCCGCTCCATCAGTCCCGTCAGGGGGCCGCCGAAGACCCAGGATGGGGGGGGGCCCGAACTGCGCCCGCGGCCAGCGGCGCTGAACGCCTCTGAAAACTCGGCGCCCATCTCGCTCATCTTGGTCGCCTCGTGGCTGTTCGCGTCGATGGGGGCGCAGTCGAACACGACGCCCTCCACGTTCCGCTTCGACTGGCCCAGCTACAGCAGGAACTCCAGGATGAGGACCTGGAGCTGCTTCTGGGCGATCTTGAACCCTAGGTCGGACTTCTTCTCGCCGTCTCCGCGTTGTCGCGCGCGTCGATCCTGTCCACGGGCGGCCCCCTTGCCCTCGGGCTGCGTAGCCGCGGCCCCCCCCGCGCCCGCAGGCGGGCCGAACGCGGTCGGCTGGTCGCGGGCGGCGAACGCAGCTCGGTGGGTCACGGGGCGCCGAGTGGCAGGAGGAGGCCTGAAAAGAAAGAACTGCGGGCGGTGGGTGGGGAAGATGTTGTTGTACAGCATGTTCGCTGCATTCATCAATAGCTTCGAATGTACCGTCGCAGAAGAGGCGCTTAATCGCATTCGGGGTCCCCAGAGGCCACGGGAATCGACGTCGCCCGATTCGGCGGGTTAAATTATCCCAGGGCGATCGGACACGTTGACGAGCGCGATCCTTAATCTAGAACGTCGAACGACACCACGGGCACTGATTACATATCACACACGTGTACAGAGGGTTCCGCTTGCCGTGGCCCCCCGCCCCTGGACTGGAACGCGCGAGCTGTCAGGGCCCCGCGGGGGGGGGGAGAAAGTCTGACTGCATAGGGCCCCGCTCTCGTCTCGGAGGGCGCACGCGAAGGCTGCGAGCTCTTCTCCCGTCGGAGGTGCGATCGCGCGAGCAGGTCCTCGCAGGCTCTGGAAGGAAGAAGTCTCGCCCTGCGTCGAGATCGCGGCCTTAAGGGTCAACGGGTCAATGCGAGGCCACGCCTCTCGCACCTCGTCGGCATTAAACAAAGCGAAATAGGAATAGTTATGCTCGCTCCAGCGCTCAAGAAAATCCTCGGCACCGCTGGTCCCAGCGCACACCCACAAGTCGGCTGCTACTTGGCGCGCCAGTGGCGGGGCATCTCGGGCGAGGCGTCCAAGATAATCCAACGCAGGAGGTCCGTCGTTGAGGGTCCCCCGGGGAGCGGCAATAATCTGGGCGTGGGCCCTGGGGTCTCGGGCCATCTCCTGGGCCCAAGCAAATCTTATGGCGGCTTGCGCGCACCGAGTGGGAATCACTTTCCACCTACGACGAAGAACAGCGTGCGGAAGACAAAGGGGATGGCTGCCACTCCAGTCCACATCCTTGCTCCTCTCCAGGGCTCTTAAATATTTAGCGATGATGGTGTCCATCTGGTTATTAATGTTTTGCAGAGAAAAAGCAGGCTTCGTTTGCCGATAGTCCAGCTTCAATGGCATGCCCCTGGAAGGCCAGAAGTTTCAATTTGCCAGATATACGGCTGCCCCATAGACTCCCCATCTTAACCCATCCCGCCCTCATCGCAGAGAACCTGAACTGTAGCTCCTCCACCGTCGCTAAATAAGTGAAAACTCTGTACCATCTCTCGTTTGCCCGTGTTCTGGAGGAGGCCAGCCTGGTTCAATTCCTCGTCCAACGTCGCGTCGCTCTGTTGTGTGAGAAGGTGGGCCTCTCCAGCCTCGCCGCTGCGAACAAGTGTATTATCAAAGATGCCATCTGCAAAAGCGCTCGCGCCGCCATCTAGCTGCCTCGAGACAATGCCACGCTTCAGCGCGACGGACAGCGCCTCGGTGCGAGCCGATCGCCGAGCGAAACAAGGCCCCTCCATGATCTTAGCAAAGATAATAGGTTCTTCACTGGATCCCATCAAACCTCCACATCCGTGCCTGACCACCAGATTACGCGTGTCCCCCCATGGTTCCTCTCCCCCTCCAGAGAAGCCCAGAAAAATAGCGGCGTGTTCCGCTCGCTGTTCAAACGGCGCTTGATCTCTAGGCAAGACGAGATCGCGGATGGCACGACGTCTGGCCGCGGGTGTAGTGGAGGCGAAAGCGTTAGACATGTCATGCAGATTGTTGATGCGAGCTAGCTTTCGCTTCCGAAGGCGATGGCCTACGCAAAGCTGGACAGCCAGGGCGTCTTCACGACGCCGAAGGGCAGGAAACCATGAAAGCTGGCCGGCCAATCCTGAGGTTGCGATGCCATCCCTCGGCGGATCGCGGCTCCATAGAAGCGTTCCAATAAGGGCAGAACACATGAATAAGGCGTTTTCTCCCAGGTCCTTGTTTTCCGTTCGGCTTCAAGATCGGGCATCCCCAGGAAAGATGAGCCAGTTTCGGGACTCGTTGCAGAACTCGTATCCACCAGTGGAGATTTTCAAGATGTGTATATGCCTGAGACTGGGGTAGTTCGCCTACTCTTTCAGCGCCTAAACCAAGTCGGGGTTCGTCCGCTCGTGAGACGTAGCTGGACTCGGCGGCCATAAAAAGACTTCCGGAGGTGCACTCCAGGCTGGGGCAGCTCGACGTCTGGGGCGCTTTTTTGGGAACCTCAGGGTGCCTCGAAGATCCCGTTCGGCCCAAAACCCATGCTCCTCGTATGTATCGAAGGTCATCGCCGTCGCGCCGAAAGTCTCGGGACAATTCTCGAGCTCGGTCGCGTAATCGATCTCCTGGGCACTCATACCTCCCATATGTGGTGATCCCTCCTAATACCTCCTCCATTCCTCTCGTGAAGACTCTGGAAACGGAATACGGTATTTACGCTTGCGGGGCCCCCCGCATCGAGCTGCCAGTAAGAAAAAGAAGCCGGTGGACCTCAGCGAATGGACGAAATCGGTGGGCCTCTTGAATCTAACGTTCGATGCGTCGACGACGGTCGGCCCGTTCTCGGCGTGCGAGTTGTCGGAGTGCGATGCGAATCTCCTGTTGTTCTTGATACTTTGGGAAGAGAATGGGCTGGTGGCGTAGCACAGCCTCGCACCCCTCGCCCTGATCCCCCAGCCTCTCTCTCGCCTCAGCACGGAGTCGAACCAGCTCACGACGGCGTTCACGTAGACGTGCAGCCCGAGGGTCGTCTGTCTTGCGCGACTGGCCGAAGAACCGTGCACAGCGTCTCACGAGGTCGACCCACTTCTGCCAGTACGTGTCGCTGTCGCCGTTGTTGCCGAGCACGGCAAGCTCGGCGCGCTGTGCGAACTCTTCCTCCAGGGCTTGCTGGAACTCAATCTTGTTCGCACCCTCCTGCAATGCTGCCGCCAATTTATCGCGATCCCATATGAGCGTGACCGCTGTCGATCCTCGATGTTGGTACGCCATGAAATTGACTATGATCGGGACATGGTCCCGTGGGGCAGCACTCGGGAAAAGTTGTAGGCGTCGAGCCGAACTCCAGGGTAGAAAGCAGCGTCGGATCTGATCATGTAGTGTCATGGGCATGAATATATGGCCCATTGTACTCGTCGAGCCGTCGAAATGATAGTAAGCATGCCCTTCCTTTGCATGAAAACTCCCAACATTCATCATGTCAAAAGGCATCATCAACTCTTCCCAGATTGGGCCCCCTATGGTGGTCTGATTGTCAAGATGGCGGCCCCCGGCGTGGTCGATCTGGCCGGGACGCTCCGCCTCGAAAGTATGCGGGGAAAGCAGCGCTCCGCTCTTCAGAACACTGCCTGTATTCAGGTCGCCCATGACAATCGGTGCAGAGCGTGCTGGAGGTGTTCTGACCTGCTGGGTCGCCCACTCCACTAGAGCCCGATCCCATCTCCAGCGCTCGCCTCTTGCGCGCGCATTCGTCCTTGAGCGGCGGTAGGTACATCAGCGCGATCGGCAGATCCAGGGAACATCTCGCGATGCGGACCGCCAGTCCCCTTCTCTGGGCTGCAGGTGGGGGCGTAGATATCGTTCTGACTCCTCTGCGCATCCTCTGGGTCATCATAAACGTACAACCTGCCGACCCGTTGGAAAAAGGTGCGGCAGACCATCCTGCCGATGAGCCGCAACCTCATCTATCCAGGTGCCACCCCTGAACTGGATGACATGGTGGCGCTCGGAGACGAGTGCCCGCCAGGCCAATGATGTCTGCGTGAACCTCTCGCCACATCTCCGATGGTTGGTCCGATTCCACAAGCGGGAAGGGATTGTAGAGCGCCAGCCGAAGGAAAGAACTCATGGGCCCCAAAGGGCGAGTGCGCCCCGAGGCGTTCCCGCCCCACGATCGTGAGCGGCAAAGCCAGATGAAGTGTAAGATGGAGAGATGTGCGGTGCAGAACGCTTGAAGCTGCCCGCTACAAGGATGGCTGGGCGTTCCCATTTTCTAGATAGGGTCTCTCGCCGTAGCCCCGCGCGCACCCCTTTCAAACGCTCGCTGCCTCTACCGGGATAGAGCACAACCCCTTCTCGAAAATAAGCTCTCGCTCGACACTTCATATCATCCTACAGAAACGGGGGCGCCAACGTGTGTAGCAGCTGCGCGCATGGTTCCTCTTTGAAGAAAGGGGGTAGCACGATTGACTTCATTGAGGTTGAGGTTCGCGACCTAAACTGCAAACTTGCAACGCAATTGCACGGATGGCGGCGGTCATTTTTCGACCCAGGGGCCCCGCTGGGCACCTTGTTCAAGTGCATGGTCACACCTTTTCGCACCCCTAACTACGCAGTGTAATGATACAAGGCAACTCGCGATAAAACTAATCAGATACTTGTCGCTCACGGGGCGCGTCTTGCAGTGATCCCGAAGGCTTGTTGGGGCTCGTGAGGGTGGGCCTTATGTCAAGACCATTTGGCTCGAGCTGTTCTCAGACACTCGACCGTCTTTCCCTGGGCTGTCCCGGGCTTTCTGCTCTCGCTCGAGGGCCGATTCTAATCGGCCAGCGCAGGGGCCCGTTCCTACTTCATGGTTTCCCCTTCCTCCACGCCGCGCAACGGCAACAGTGCTCGGCCGTGGACCTGCAGCTCCTGCGGGCGCCGCCGCAACAACGTTGCAAGCGGCGCAAGCGTCGTCATGCCCAGAGGCCCGCGGGACGGTCGGAGCCGTGACTGGGCATGCTGCAACGCGAACTACACGCGCGAAATTGCCGGTGGCGACAGCCATGCTGGCGCTGGCGCTGCTGGGTTCGCTCTTCCTCGTCTTCCTGGGCCCCGATTACTGGGGCCAAGGGGTGCGATCCCCGCTCTGCCGAGCATCGCAGCCGACGCGTCTCTAGAGGACTTGCAGTCGGCCGTCCAGTTGTTCGACGAACTGGGCGACGTCGGAACTTCCTCGGCCCACAGAATGCTCGCAGCACCCCGCCGGGCCGCTGCCCCAGCTGCCCCGCCCCTGCAGCGTCAGATCAACGGCGCCTTCCAGCGCGTGCGCGGACTTGAGAGCCAGTTGGAGAAGG